TTCCCCTCCCCCTTTTCTGATGAAGGGTCTAGGCCCGAAACGTCAGCCTCTCTGCTCCTATGATGCTGCTTGGCCTGCTGTGTTCATCCAGCCCTGCACCTTGTTGTCTCGGATTCTCCAGCATCTGCAGTTCCTACTATCTCTGACTAAATTGAAATACTTCTTTTATTCAAGCATTCAATACTCATGAAGATGTTTGTTCAATAAGAGCAACGACATTCCTGGAACTGACTCCCAGGGAATACTTCTTTTACTGTCGTATAAAATCTGGATTCTAATGAAGCAAAGACATGAAAACTGCACAACCAGTGCAGCACAATGTGCAAAGATTGTAAGGCAGTTCAGAAATGCCATAGCCCCATTTGCGCATTGCTGTATTTATGCAGTGCCACATAATGCACTCTTCAAATGAAGAAAATGGCAGGATGAATGCCTAAATTTGAAGAAAAGTGAACAACAAAATCAGTATTCCAGCATTGGTATCTTCAATCTTGATAGATACAGACAGGAAAATATAGACTTTATTACAAGGAATGTGATCAGGCGCACAAAGCGATTTTAAAAAATATCTTGAACCAGGGTCCTGATTTCTGTGGTTAAACCGTGTGGCCTGTCTCTTAACAGATGCCTTAAACCAACAAGAATAGTAACATATCTACGCATAAAAAGCAGCCCAAATAATTGCAAAGTTGCAGAAAATTGTGTCTGAATTCTGTTTAGTTTGACTCTTGTAATCTCATCAAATATTTTAAATTAATTTTCACTATCATACAATAAAATGATTGTAGATAACTGTCTGTTTACTTTTATTCTGTACTACAGTCCTGGTATTTTGTGCATTGTTCTGAACATATGGAAAATGGATCAAAAATAAAACATTTGTTTGTATAAATGTGCAAATAGAAGAGTCTAATTTGTTTCTGATTGGCCACGCCACCAGGAATCTATCAGATCTGTGAACTGCATCCAGAAATCTGATACAAAAACAGAAATTGCTGGAGAAACTCAGCAGGTCTGGCAGTATCTGTGGGAAGAAAACAGATTTAACGTTATGAGTCTAGTGACTCTTCATCAGAACTGTTAGCTGGGAAAAGGTGAAGCTGAAGTTGGTGGTGGGTGAGAGTGGAGGTGAGTGGATAAGGTGGAGATGGAGCCCAGAGAGACCTATGAAAAGGGTAGGTAAACAAAGAGATAATGGATAGCAGGCCAGGACAGAAGGAAATCTGAATAAGTAGTAATAATAATAACTAAGAGTTAATGGGAAAAAACTAATGAGAAAATGGGCTAGTTGTGCTGAATACAACCATATAACGTGATAACAGGCCGAGGAGTACGTGGGAAAGGGGGTCACTGTGCTAAAACGATGCTTGTCATAACAGGAGTGGTTGTTGGGTGGGTGAAAAACATGGAAGAATGGAATCGGGCTGTAAAGTATTGAAATTGATGTTGTGTCCTAGAGACTGCAGGGTCCCCAAGTGGAAAATGAGATGTTGATCTTCAAACTTATGCTGACTCACACTGGAACACTGCAGCACACCTATGACAGAAATGTTGCTCTGGGAACACATTGGTGCATTGAGAGGCAGGCAACTGGAAGCTTAGGGTCACTTTTGTGGACAGAACGTAGGTGCTCTGCAAAGTGGACACCCAGCCTGCGTTTCATCTCCCCAATGAGCAGACCACATTGTGAGCAGCAAATACTAGACTGAATGAACAGGTGAATTGCTGCTTCATCTGGAAGGTGTGCCTGGGGCCTTGGATAGTGAGGAGGGAGAAAGTAAATGGGCGGGTATTACATCTTCTGTGATTGCTTGGGATGGTGTTGTGAAGGTGCTGGGAGTGGAGGAGGAGTGTACCAGAGTGTGCAGGAGGGAATGGGCCCTGTGGAATTTTTACCATCCCACACCTGCTCCTATAATGACATGGGTTGCCTGTAGCACAGTCACCCATTCCCATGTACTCCTAGACCAATTATCATGTTATATGAGTTGTATTCAGCACAGCAAACCCAATTTATCACTCTTAGCACCTATTACCACTTATTCAATCTTTCTTCCATCCTGGCCTGCTACCCATAATCTCCTTGTTTACCTACTCCTTTTCACCTCTCCCTAAATGGGGTTACCATCTCCACCTATCCCTCACCTCTTCCCCCTCACACCCACAACTTGAGTTCAGCCTCACCTTTCCCTATCTGAAGAGTCACCGGACTGGAAACGTTAACTCTGCTTTCCTCCCACAGATGCTGCCAGACCTGCTGAGTTTTCTCCAGCAATTTCAGTTTTTGTTTCAGATCGCCAGAGACCGCACGGTTCTTTTGTTCTATTACAGAAATCGTTTTTTTTTAAATTTAATCTCATGTGTGGTCCACCTTAGCGAAATAAAGATCCTGAGCCGTTGCAGTTGTGCACCTTGCAGCTCAATCCTTCAGCGCTGACTTCTCCTAAAGGTTAATATCAAACGGCGCCGCGAAATTACCGGGAAGCGTCATAAAGTTGTTCCCGCATCACAATCATGAGCATTGCGCTTCGTTTCCCCTGTCTCTCTGACCCGGGAGAGGCCCTGGCCGTGAAGTGAGGACCAGGCTGTCACAGGGTCTGCGAGGAAGGATGACAGCAGGAACGCTCCGCTTGCTCGCCGTGCTGCTCATCTCTCTGCCGTTCCCCAAGTCCAGCAACTCCCTGAACAAAACAGAGAAGAAGGAGCTAGTGGACGCACACAATAAGTTCCGCTCTTCAGCATCCGATGCATCCAACATGCTGGCAATGGTAAGTGGCATTTGCTTTCCCTCACAGTGACTCCGAAGAGGGGTGTGAAGACCAGCTGAACGAAAACAAAATGATCTCCCCATCCTCTCTCCAAAAAAAGTCACAGTGAGAAAGTTGATTGTACCTCACCAACCCTGGGTCATGGGATTCCACCAGATTGGATGGGGCTCGTTTTGACACTTGCCAAGCCAATTTCTGGATCACTTACCAATGATCTTTCCTCCGTTGCCATCATCATTATGTATGTTGGTAGTCATTCATCTCTGTGTATTCTGTAGCAGTTTTTCATTTGTCAATAACTTCATTCAACTTTCAAGTCATCCAACATTGATATTTGGAGACAGTAAGGACTGCAAATGCTGGGAGCTAGAGTCAATAAATGTGGACTTGGACAAGCACAGCTGGTCAGACAGCAACCAAGGAGCGGGAGGGTCAACGTTTCGGGCTTTACTGCTCCTCGGATGCTGTTTGACCGGCTGCGCTCTTCCAACATTGATAATTCCTCTTTTTCCTCGATTCTAACCACTTTAACATCTCTTACAAATCTGGTTCCTCTTAAAATGTGTCCTACCTAGATTCTCCTAATTGTATTCAACAAACTTCATTCTCCATCACGTTTCAACGTTTGTTATTTATTTTAAGCTCAGCAGATCCTTTCAATTCTGCTCATATTTCAAAGCTAGTTAGAATCATAGAATCCCAATAGTGTGGAAGCAGACCGATCATGTCCACACCGACCCTCCAAAGAGCATCCCACCCAGACACACCCACCTACCCTATCCCTGGAAACCTGCATTTCCCATGGTTAATCCATGTAGCCTGCACATCCCTGGACACCATGAGAATTTAGCAAGGTCAGTCCACCTAACCTGCATCTTTGGTCTGTGGGAAGAACTCAGAGCACCTGGAGAAACTCACACAGACATGGGGAGAATGTGCAGACTCCACACAAACAGCCCAAAGCTGGAATCAAACCATAACACTTTGAGGCAGCAATGCTAACCACTGAGGCACCATGTCATCCAAGTTGGAGACTTAGCAAGTTGGGTTCTGCTTCATAAAATCTATGTCTTGTGTCCAGCCAAAACAACATCAAATCATGCTCCTTAACTAGTGTAGGACATACATTTTTTGTATCTGAGGAAAATTGCTTTGAGTAGATCAAAGGCATCAGAAGAAAGCAAAATTCAGTTGTATTCCCCTCAAGACTTGTGCAAACTCCTTGGGAGAAATTGTGGTATCATCGTAATGTCACTGAGCTATTAATCTAGAGTTCCAGGCTAATGTTCTTGGGACATGGGTTTGACTTCCACCATGACAGATGGTGAAATTTATATTCAATAAAATCTGGAATAGAAAAGCTAACGGTGACCATGTAACCATTGTCGATTGTTAAAAAAATTCAATCTTGTCCAATGATATACCTTCGGGGAGGAAATCTGTCATTCCTACCTGGTCTCACCTACATGTGACTCCAGGCATGAAACAATTGTGGCTGATCCTTAATTGCCTCTGAATTGGCCAGGAAAGCCACTTACTTATATCAACACTAAAAATACCTAGAAGAAGGAAATAAACTGCTGAACCACCTGACATCACCTAGGCATCAGAAAGGATATAAAAAATAACACTGTTAGCTCTATAAAGTCCTCCTCACCAAAACCTGGAGGCTTGTGTGAGAGCTGTCTCACAGACTTGTCAAGCAGTAGCCTGACATAGTCATATGGAATCGTACCCTATGAATAATATCGCATATACCATCATCACCATTCCTTATTATGTCCTTTCCCACTGGCAGGATAGATCCACTGGAGGGGGCAACACAGTATTATACAATCAAGAAAGAGTTGCTCTGAGAATCCTGAACATAGATTCCAGAACCATGAATTTTCATGCATTCGGTCAAACATGGGCAGGGAAACCTCCTGCTGATAACCGTTAGCACCTCTCCTTGGCTGAGTACTCCTAAATTTTGAACACCTCTTGGAGAAAGCACTGAAGGTGACAATTACCCAGAATGTACCCTGGATGGGGGACTTCAATATCCACTACCAAAGGACTAAAGGACTCAGCTGCAAGACTGGGTCTGCTGCAAGCAGTAAAGGAATTAACAATAGTGAAAAATCTACTTGACCTTTCACCAATCTACCTGAATCAAATACAATTTTCCATGAAAGCATATGTAGCAGAGAGCACTGTGCAGCAGTGGTGATGAAGTGCCATCTTCACATTGGGAATACCCTCTGTCATGTTGTGTGATATTACCAACATGCTCAATGAGACAGATTTTGAACATATCCAACAAGTCAAAAGTAGGCATCTATGAGGTGTTGAAGGTCATTAGCAGCAGCAGAATTGTATTCTCCCAGAATCTGTAACCTCATGGCCCACAAAGCCCCCATTCTACCATTACCATCAAGCTGGAGAGGAATGTTGGTTCAGTGAAGAGTCTACTCTAGATTATCAGTGAAAAGTTGGACAGGCTAATTGAGTGTATTATAAAGCAGCACTTGCGAATGAATAACCAGCTCACTGATGCTCAGTTAGTTCTCCAACAGGTTCACTTAGCTTCTGACCTCTTTATAGTCTTGGTCCAAACATGGACAAAAAGGCTGAATTCAAGAAGTGAAGTGAGAGTGACTGCTCTTGACATCAAGGCAATATTTGTATGGCATCAAGGAGCCTGATAAAAACTGAAGTCAATGTGAATTATGGAGAAAACGCTACATTAGCTGAAGTCATTCCTAGCCCAAAGGAAGATGGCTGTGGTTTTGAAGATATTCTAAAAACATCTCAATCCTCAGATTTACTGCTATTCCTGGCAACTTTGTAGCGCTTTTATTTTAAACTCATACAATTCTAACTTCCTTTATTAGCCGTGTTTGACTGACCTTTCTTGAGTTTAAAGACCATCCATTGCTTATGTACAGTTAATCCCTTAGTGTATTTTCCCAATTCACCTCAGTCCATTTGTTTCTCTGCCTTCATAACATCCCTACTCAAATTTAGCACCTTTGCGTTAGATTGAACCACCTCACTTTCAAATATAACATCAAATTCTATCATATTGTAATCATGCATCCCTAAAGGTTTCTTTTCCAATAACATTTTTAATAATCTCTTTATCATTACATAATTCTAGATCTAAAATAACATGTTCTGTAGTTAGCTCCTCAATATGTTGCTGTAGAAAACCATCTCTAACACACTCTAGAAACTTGTCTTCCGCTGATTTAATGCTCAAATGGTTTATCCAATCTATAAGCCACTTGAAGTCACCCATGATAACTTGGGTTGTCCATGCTACATGTCTTTCTCATTCCTGATTCATAACATGCTCCATATTATCACGAGTATTTGGTGGCCTAGAAACAACTTCAACCAATGTTTGCTGCCCTTTGCTATTTCCTACCTCCATGCAAACAAATACTGTATATTGTTCTTCTGATCTGAGATCCTCCCTGACTTATTTACTGCTCCCAAAACTTATTATTAGTATGACTCCACCTTTTCCTCATGACTGTGTTTCCAAAATGCCAAATATCCTTGAACATTCAGTCAGTCCTGATCACCGCACAGCCCATACATCTGTGATGGCAATCAGATCATACCTTTTTTTTCTGTCTTCCAGTCTCCCTAGAATCTTTGCAACTTTATTTTACCAATTTTGCTTCCTTCCAATTTGGAATACCCCATCAGGTTTTCATGTCCAACAAACTAGTTTAAAACTACCCGACAGCACCAGTAAATCTCCATGTGAAGATATCAGTCCCAGCATCAATCCCTTAAAGAAGTAACCCACCCAGTTTGTGTAGGTCACTCCTGCCCAAGAACCAGTCCCAATTCCTCAGAAATCTGATGCCTTCTTCCCTACCTGAGTTCTGCAGCCATGTGTTCAATAGATTAATTCTCATGTTCTTATACCCATTAGCATGTGGCTCTAGGATTAACCATGAGATTGCTGCTCTTGAGGTCCTGCTCTTAGACTTCCTTCCCAAATCCCTGAAATCTGCCTTCCAGACCTCTTCCTTCTTCCTACCTATTTTGTTGGCATCAATGCGGACCACAACTTCTGGCTGATTCTCCCTCATTAGAAGGATGTCCTGCAGCTAGTCCCTGCTATTATTGGCCCTGGCACCAGGGAGGTAACACACCATCCTGGAGTCATAATTAATGCCGTAGAAACACCAGTCTGATCCACCGACTATAGAATCCCCTAAAAATATTTTTCTTCCATTCTCCTTCTGCCTCCTCTGCACAGCTGAGTCACCCATAGTGCTGTGGGCTTGGCTATGACTGCAGTCCTCTGAGGAACTATTTGCCTCAACAGTTTCCAAAATGGAATACTGATTAGCAAGCAAGATAGACACAGGGGATTAATACACTACCTGCCTGATTTTCTTCAACTTTCTGGTAGTCATCCATCCCCTCTCTGCCTAAATGCTTCTAATCTGTGGTGTGACCTCCTCCCTAAGTCTACTGTTGATGTAGACTTTTGGATGCGTTAAGTGATTCCAGCCACTGCTCAAGATCTGAGACCCAGAGCTGAAGCTTGTACAGCTTGGTACCATTTCCTGTAGATATGTTTGTCTGGGACAAATGGTATGTCCATGACTTCACACATACTGCAGGATGTACACTCTGCTTGGCCTTTCTGACCTGCCATCCCATAAGTCGAAGAACTATTTTTCTACCCTTAGAATAAGTACGAACTTCCAATGAAAATGTTACAAGCTATTTCTCAGAAAAAAAGAGAGAAAAGTAAAATAGAAAAGGACTAGAGACTCTAACAAACCACAAATTAAATACCTAACTTTCACATTAAAAATTAGAAACACTGACCAATCCTACTTACCAATCAGCTGCTTCCTTGCATTTTGAATATCATACTACATTTGTCTTAGTGCAGTTAGGTCTCTCGATCCACACCTTATTTCCTTTCCAATTTGCCTGTCACTCTGGAGACTATATTTCTGCAGTAAACCTCATTCACAGTACCTCTTTCCCCTGTTCCACATTCACACTTTGACCCAATCCCCTAGATACTCATTCTTTGTTAGTGTTACTCAGGTGAGGTCTCCCTCACTTTGACCATGTGGCTTACTCTTTCCCCTGGTTTATAAACACAGGCTGACCATGTAATGTGTTGTTAGAGTCTCAATACAGAAACAATATCGTGAGTCATAATTCTGGAATTGGACAATATCTGAATGAAAAAGAATCATCCATAGTGCTTAGTAGGTTCATGTTAAATTGATATAAGTCATATTGCTGTCAAGTAATTAAATTGAGCAAAACTCCTTCTTCACTGTTTTGTTAAAAGTTCTCTAAATCCAATAAGTCCTCAAATAAAGGTTGGGAAAAATGAATGCAGCAAATTTGTCATAAATTTTGAATACTGTGATTGATCTCTTCACAGTATCAATATACAACATCTTTGTGTTATGGTATTGATTGACCTCTGAAAGGGTTTTGGATAAAATTTCATATCATATCCATGAACTGTGACTGAGCAATCAATGCAATGACCTAGTGAGGAGGGGTGAAACGACTGCACTCTTTTCAACCTCCTTGGTTGGTCACAATAAAGATTTATTTTAGGGGAGGCAAAAGGTCTAGTGGTACTATCAGCAGACTATTAATTCAGAGACCTAGGTAATGTTCCAGTTCAGAACTCTGCCATGCCAGGTGGTGGAATTTGAATTCAATAAGACCCTAGAATCAAGCATCTAATGGTGACTATGCTTGCATTATTGGAAAAACTCATCTGGTTCACTAATGTCCTTTAGGGAAGGAAACTGCCATCCTTACCTGGTCTTGCCCACAGGAAGATGGTTGACTCTTAACTGCCATCTGGGCAATTAGGGATGGCCAATAAATGCTGGCCTAGCCAGCGACACTCTCATCCTGTGAATGTATGTATGAATTAACAAAACAATAGCCATTTAAAAACACAGCTAAACCTCACTTTAGTAAAATTGTAGTTAATTAGCTCATGGTAAAAACATTTAGAAACTAATAACAAGGATTTTTTGAGTGAAAGGAAGAACAATTTTATTACTTGCTAACCCTGAGAAAAATGATAGAGACAGGACACCAAAAACATACAAAAGTATAAGTGCAAAGCTGAGATGTGAATAGTACCCCAGGCCACATAGTACAAGATTAGTACAAAAAGAAAGATAAACAACACGCAGTTTAGAATCTTTTGCGGTCCTTGAGTTGTTAGGTTTTAACCTGAGACCACGATTGGTTAGCAGTATCCTGGGTGAGCAGTAACCATGCATATTACTAAATCTTCCAGTTCTTGGTGTTTGGATGTTTCTACAGTTTGTGTTGTCACTGGTTACTTAGTCCTCCCTTAGCAAGAGAAGGGAGAGAGAGTCCAGTTCTGAGGAAGCGTCAATGGACCTGAAACGTTAACTCTGTTTTTTTCTTCACAGATGCTGCCAGACCTGTTGAGCTTTTCCAGCTTTTTTGTTTTTGTTCCTGATTTACAGCATCTGCCGTTCTTTTGGTTTTTATTAAGGGAGAAAGAGTATTTCTTCCAATACAGCTATTACAAATTCATCTCCATTGCTCTGCCAAAGCAGTTGCTTGAAATAATTGCAGAATTGTCTTGCACCTTTAAAATGTGAAGTTTATCATTCAGGTTTAAATTTAAAATGGGATGTACAAGTTTCTTTTTATACACCTGACTGGTTTCAGTCTCTTTTAGTAAAGTATGAATTTCAGTTCAGGCAGTTTCATTTATTTCCCACTGATTTTCTGCAGCTTTGCTCAAGCTGCGATCAGGTAATCATTGCGGCCATTTTTAAAAATGATTTTATCCCATGAAAGTTCCAGGTATTAATATCAGATTATGTGCATTCAAAACTGATAGATCAGCTACTATCTCATTAAATAGTGGAGCAGATTTGATAGGTTGAAAGGCCTATTTCTGCTCCCACATCTTATGTCCTATGACAGTCCATATTTTGTCTCAATCATGACATTGATGATACCTTAATCAAATAGATTCAGTTCAAACTTACCCTAATTTTAAGCCTTTTTGTGCTCATTAATTCTGTTCTACTTATGTGTATATTATCTTAATTTGCTTTTAGAAATGGGATACACATTTAGAAAAAATTGCGAAGAAATATGCAAATAAATGTCTCTGGAAACACAATACAAACAGAGGAAACGTGGGAGAAAATTTGTTTGCAACGAATGGTCCATTAGACCCAGCGACAGGCGTCGAGGACTGGTACTTAGAAATTTTTGATTACACGTATGAGAATATGAGCTGTACCCCAGGGAAAATGTGTGGACATTATACACAGGTATGAACTTTAGTTTACTCCTCAGAATGGGCAGATAGCTGACTTGGTTTGATTAATGAACACATCAAAGATTTTTTAATCATAGGTAAGGAACTTCCTGACAGCAGAAATCAATTTTATTTGTGGTCTGCATAGCAAATAGAAAATTCCAAAGCTTCTGTCAAGATTAAAATGTGTAATAGGCTGGATTTTATATTAGAAATAACTATGAAGCTGATAGCACACACTGTTATTTATGTACAAATTTGACAGCAACTTTTGGCAACTGCACATTTGCAGTTAAATGTGTAAATCAGAAAGCTACTGTCTAAAAGCAGCAATAATATTTTGTTGTGAAACTTATCTTTCAAATACATGGAAAGAGTGACAGGCTGTTCTTACCCTATATATAGAAGTAAAGCTACCTAGAAAAAGTTATTCCATATTCATCCTAGTGTAAATATCCTTTAACTTGTGATAACTCTTAGTTACTAGCAAACAATCTTTATAGCAGTGAAAATGTACTTTAGGTTTTAATAATAAAAAAAACTTTATTGTTCTTTCCATTTCTTTTATATATTTCTCTTCCAGCAATATTTCCTCTCCCTTTTTAATTTCATTTACTTTTGACACTAATTTCGTTATTTCAAGTAACAACCTATGGGTTATACTTCATATTGATCATTCATAATTCTTCAACTATACATCGTTGCTCCACCCATTCAGACAGGTATCAGATGCTCTTTAAAGGGCACTGTAGTTTTGGATTGTTACCTGACAGGACCTTGCAGGCAAGAGCTAAAACATGTCAATTATTTCTTAAAGCTCTTTGCAAACCTTGCTCTGTTTTCTAAATTATATCTTTGTATTGCGAAGTGGATGATATAATTTATATATATGTATTTGTAATACCATTTATTTTGAGTTTAGATTTTTAAATTTTGAATTAGACACATACGGATATTCCATGTAACTGAAGAGTTGAATGATTAACTAAGGTAGGTACTTCTGCAGCCATAGTAATTTATCTTAAAGCAGTTTGAGGGGGTAGCTTGCAAAACCGTTTTTTGTGCACATTAGATGTGCACATTTATGACTGAGCTGGGTAAACAATCATGTGTTAATGTTTTTGTTGGATTGTTCTAGAATTGTTTGGCTTAAGCTTAAGCGAAAGACCCATAGCTTGGGGGAGAAGTGTTTCTTTTGCTTAAAGCTTGGGGCGATTCTGCAGAAGTACTTGGATGAAGATGTATGTATAAAGCAGTGCCGCTGAGAAAAGGAGAAAATCAAAACAATAGGTTAATTTAAAGTAAGGAGTTTAAGGATAGACTCAAAGTGTTTAGATAAAACTCTAAGGAGGGTATTTGAAGCTGAGAACCCAGGTGTAGGACAGCTCAAGGAAAAGGCTATCCTATATTCTGGACTGGGAGTTGAAATCACAGTTAGACTAAGCCATTGAGGTGTTAATGAAAGAGACTTTGTTTTCTTGAATGAGTACTCTACAAGGGGTGCTTTCGGATCTGTAAAATTTTTTTTGTGAATAATGTTACTGTGTATTTAAAATTCTTTAATGTGGATGTGCTGGTGTTGGACTGGGGTGGACAAAGTCAGAACTTACACAATGCCAGGTTATAGTCCAACAGGTTTATTTGAAATCACATGCTTCTGGAGTGCTGCTCCTTCATCAAAAGCTTATGATTTCAAATAAACTAGATGGACTACAGCGTAGTGTCATGTGACTTCTAAAATTCTTTACGTTTGTGTTATAAGCAAATAGTCTAGTTTATTCTATTTTGTCTTAATTTCTTTTCTTCATAAACATCTGTTTTGTTGTTAATATCAGATCTGCAATATTAAATGCTTACATTTAGTGAGAGACCATCTTAGTAAAATCAAAACAAAATATGATTCACCAATTCAGATTTCTAACATGTTCAGTAATAACATCAACTAGGATCATAATAGCATATTATTCCAGCTATCAGCTTTCTTATTTTTTTCCTAATGGACTTATTAACTACATTTTTTGAGCTATTTTATCATCGATACTAAGATTCAATATTTCTCAACCAACAATTCAATTTGTCATAGCAACCTCTTATTCCTCAATCCATTAAATCTAAACTGTCCACTATAATTAATTTTCTTCAGCATACAAGCTTTCTCTCATCTTACTTGTAAAAAATAATGTTATTTTACTCATTTCTGAGGTCAATCAGAACCATTATTTCAATTACTTCTTTCAGAGACCTATTCATGACTGGTGATAATTTTGAAATAATTGCTTTTGCCACTTTCACTTTAAACATATGCGCCACAACCAGATATTTCTTCTTCAACAGAAATACAGACATAGAATCAAAGCACAGAATAAGATCATTCAGCCCATCGTGTCTATTTGGGCTGAGTAAAGTAGCCACCCATTCTAATCCCACTTTCTAGTACTTGATCTGTACATCTTGATTATTATGTCAATCTTCCAATGCATAACATAGCTACAATTTATTTATTCTTCAAATGACCCTTCACTTCATAATCACATCCTTATTTCTAGTCTCTCCGGCACATAAAGGTGAGGGGTGGGGGTTTGGGAACAGGAGAAACTTGAAAAAATATCCAGTAGAACCTGCCAATAAGCAGTTGTCTTACCGTGAGGTTCATTTGCCTCCCTCATTTTTAATTAATCAATTACTTCTGAGGCTTTTGAACTATTATATTGAGTTGACTAATCAAAATTATTGAATATCACTTCCTCAATCTGCAAAATAAGTCTTAGAGTTTCTGATTTGCAATATTTACTTAGATTCAGAAATTCAGTGCAAATTGTTCCCATTTGCAGTTTATACCATACTAGAAGGGAAAATGGATTCAGAGGAAGCAGCTTAAAAATTACAAACTGAATTGTACCAAATGTGTAAATGAACAGAATAGTGGCAGCTTAAATTTAGCATGAGCAGGTATGAAGTTCTGCACACAGGAAGGAAAAATTGTGGTGTAATTGTGCATGAATAGTGATTAAATAATGACTAGTGAAGTTGAATCAGACCTTGAGTATATTGAATGTCTTTTGAAACTTGCAATTTGTTAACTGCTAAAAATGGATTGAGTTGACACAAAATATGGCAAGGCATTGGAAATCAAGTCAATAATGTCAATAGTTTTTTTGTAAATTTATAACCAGAACTGTGGAATACAAGTTCAAAGAATCACATTGATTGCTGCTCTTGGGTTGGGAACATACGAGCAAGACTAGGTCATTCAGACCCTTAAGCCTCTCTGCCAATCTAGATCACAGCTGATCATCAACCTCAAAGCTTCTTGCTGCGCTACCTCCATATCCCATGATGTCATTTGCAGCTAGAAATCTATCATTATCTGTTTTGGATATGTTCAATGACCTCTGGGATAGATAATTTCCAAGTATCTCGAAGCGAAAAAAATCCTTTTCATTTCCGTCTTAAACGAGACCATGTCCTATGATTTTAGACTTCCCTACAACCCAGGGAAATATCCTTTGTACATCTACCATGTCTAGCCCTTTAAGAAGTTTGTAAGTTTCAAATAGATCAACTCTTCACCCTGTTACCACTCTCCTCAATTCCTCCTCAAAGAAAAGTCCTGACAATCCAGAAATTAGTCTGGTGAACTTCCACTGCACACTCCGTATGGAAGGCATATCCTTCCTTAGATATCCTTCCTAACTGTACACTGTACTCAAGATGTGATTTCGCCAAAGTTCTGCACAACTGAAGGAAGACATCTCTAGCTCTGCTCTCAAATCCTTTAACAACAAAGGCCGATGTTTAATTTACCTTCCCAATTGCTTGTTGTATTTACATTTTAGCTCTCTGTGACTTATGAACAAGGACAATCAGATGCTTTTGGAATCAACAGTTTCCAAGCTTGCATCATTTAAGAAATACTCTGAACCTACAGTCCTCCTACTGAAGTGGATAACCTCACACTTATGCACATTCTGCCATTTTCTTGCCCACTCACTCAGCCTGTCCAATCCACTTGATGCATCTTTGCATCATTCTCAGAACACACATTTCCAACTAATTTTGTATCATCCACAAATTTGGGATTTTACATTTGGTCCCCACATCTAACTCTTTGATATACACTTTGCACTCCAAGCACTGGTCACAAACTGTCAATCTGACAATGACACATTTACTTTTTCTATCTATTTTCTTTCCATTAACAAATCCATGACAATATATTAGTCCCTATTCCTTGTGTTCTGATTTTGTTTGCTAATCTCCTGTGTGAGAATTTGTCAAAAGCCTTCTGAAAATCCAATTACATCAAATCGTCAGGTCCCCCTTTATCTACTCTGCTTGGAACATTCTCAAAAGACTCTGACAGGTTTATTAAACCTGATCTCCCTTCATAATTTAATGTTGATTCTTCCCAATTGGACTTTTGATTTTATAATCAATGTTAGTATTTTCCTATTACTGACATCAGGCTAACAGGTCTATATTGTCCAGTTCTATCCCCCAATCCTTCCTTAAACAGTGAGTTACATTTGTAATTTTTTTGAAGTGAAATAATTGTTCCCGAATCTACAGAATTGTGAAAAATGACCACCAATGGATCCATTATTTCTATACACACCTCTTCCAACACTTTGGGATATTGACCATTGGATCTCAGACATTTGTCAACTTCCAATGTCATTAATTTTTCCAATACTATTTTTAAACTAATACAAATTTCTTTCAGTTCCTCATTCTCACTAGTTCATTTGATTTTTTATTGATGAGAAATTTTTATATCTTCCACCTTGAAGACAGACACAAAGTAATTATTTATATTCTCTGCCATTTCCATATTGCCTATAAAAAATTTTCCAGTTTCTGCTTGTAATGGATGTACATTTGTCTTTGCCAATATTTTCCTTTTTACATAAATATAGAACCTTTAACAGTCTGTTTTTGTTTGTTTCTTGCTAGTTTAAATTCAAATCTTAAGTAATGTTACTTTATCAGTTGCTTGGTCCAATTTTGCTAAATCCTACAGTTGTGAACTGTGTTCTGCTCTGATGACAAATATCACAAAGATATGAGATTTGTCCTGTTCTCATCACTAATGTCAAAAGACTGAATTATGAGGTTTTCAGCCTTGAATTGAGGTATCTCATGGAATCTTATACAAATATATAAAATGATTACATTTATGACAATCACTGGGAAAGTACTTTAAATGAATTTGAGGACAGCAGATGCAGATTCAAACCAGTTAAAGAAAAATGTAGGAGTGATATCAGTAACATCTTCTCAGCACAATAGTTAACAATGAATGGACTCCCATATACAGCGGCAATGGTGAAAAATCTAGGAATAATTTAAAGGCCAACTTAAATGCTGCAGTCGGGAGACTTCAGGATTTTTCCAAATAGACTAAAATCGACTGAAGAACATTGCTCATCCATAATTATCTTTTGATATTCTGACAAGGAAAATAACCACTTGCAAAAGCTATGATAGAGCTGCTGGCAGCAGTATTATCTTAGCCAGAAGCTGTTTGAGATTTTTGGAAAGGAGGGGGAAAAATTAGGTGGGGAAAACCACAGTTGTAAACAACTACTCAAGTCAGTACTTCATTTGTACCTGGGCGAAGCTAAGGTTTTTGATAGCAATGAACTGTTATGCGATAGATGACAAGCAAACTATTTTTATACCCCATCTACACTGAAGACTTAAGTATATCAGAATTGTTCTGGGAAAAAAAATAAACTTGACCATAAATTTAATCATTAATCGATTTTATGGAATTTTTATAGCGTACTTTCTCAGTTAACTTCTGTAATTGTTGCCAAAAATATTTTGATTACAAGATTATTCATCTTACAGGTTGTATGGGCAACTACTGACAAGGTGGGCTGTGCTTCACAGTTTTGTGATCACCTACAAGGTCTGGATAATAAAAACCTGTCTATTCTGGTTTGCAACTATGCACCTCCGTAAGTATAAATATGATTGAACACTCAAAAATAGCCAAGGTCTTTTTCCCAGGATAGGGGAGTCCAAAACTAGACAGCATGGGTTTAAAGTGAGAGGGGAAAGATTCAAAAGGGTCCTGAGGGGCAACCTTTTCACGCAGAGGGTGGTGTGTGTTTGGAATGAGCTGCTAGAGGAAGTGGTGGAAGCTGGTACAATTACAACATTTCAAAGGCATCTGGATGGATACATGAATAGAAAGGGTTTAGAAGGATATGGACCAAATACTGGCAAATGGGACCAGATCAGTTTAGGATATCTGGTCGGTGAGGATGAATTGGACCGAAGGGTCTATTTCCATGCTGTATAACTCTATGACTCTATAACTCTGCAAACAGCACTCTTGCCTTTCTAGATTGAAATATTTATGGTATTTCATATGTAGTATTTTTGTATTATATTTCTGTTAGATTTGTTAAATTCTGTAACATCAGGCAATAAGCTTCTACAGTAGATTATACTCATTGCACCAACACAGTAAGTACAAATACTTTATCTTTCTAGATTCATGGTGTAAATCTTATGGTACTGAATACAAAGGCTTTAAAGCACTCATCTGACAATTAAAGGCAGAATTTCTTTCTTTAAAATGTTTGACAGAGAATTTGCCAATCCACTCAAATTTTTGCATGATATTTCCATTTCTAGTGGTAACGTAGTTGGTTCGACACCATTTAAAAAAGGAATCCCCTGCAGTGAATGTCCAGCTGGATTTCAGTGTGTTAATAAACTTTGTGGTAAGTATTCCTTTACATAATAATGAAAATATTGTTTGATTGCTGCTGCTTACTTTGTTGCTGAGTCTAGTTTTCTGTGACTTTGCGAATTAGCGAGTAAGGTTGTTAACTTTTGACTGGTTTTATGACTAGAGGTTCATCCGTGAGAAAGTTGATCATGTGACAGTCCTGATCATGTGCAGGATCACGAACTGCAATCATAGGTGAATTGGGATTTGCACCTTACTTATGATGGTGGAGAAAGTCAAAGGAATTTTGGTACCAATCAGTACTTTCTTATCAAGTTTATCAGTTTGGGATCCATGTAACTACTGGGCAAAATCTTTTTTACTTTTTGGTGTGACCCTAATGGAGATTTCAGTAATAACTATTAATTTTCACTGATGGGAGGCAATGGTATCATGATAATGTCACTGAATAGAGAACTAGGCTAATACTATTGGAACTCAGGATAGCACCTGTTAATATATAAATGCAACTAATCAATCTGGAATACTGTTTCAGTAATGGTAACCATGACAAATATCATTGATTGTTGTAAAAAGCCATCAGCTTTACTAATGCCTATTAGGATGGAAATCTGTGGTTGTTACCCAGTCTGACCTACATGTGACTCCAACTCTAAAGCAAGGTGGTTGACTCTTAATTGCCCTCCTTCCATTATTCTTCTGATAAACTGCATATGGTAGTGGTCATGTGATTTCATCCTATCCTTGGTTCATTAGTAAATCCAGCTCTTAAAGCAGCACAACTCTTAAAGCAATAACACAACATCCCTTTTTAGCAAGATAAAATTTCATGTATCAACAGGGACAATATGTATACATTAGGGTAGTTTCATAAAATATTTATATGGAAAGAATAATTGAGGAATTTAAGAGTTTAAGAGCCTGAGCGACTGTATAATGACTTAACATTTTTTCTGGATCTTGTGATTGTGTAACCCTCATGAAATTTAAACTTCACACTTAGGTGTTCTTGACTTGGTATTTTGGAGTCTTGCATGTTGTTGGTGTGCTGACTGTTATCCTGATGATTTTTCATTATGACCTTCATTATCATGATAATGTCCACTGACTAGAGTTCCAGGATAATTTTAGCCAAGCTTATTTTTGCATGTGTTTTATGTATAATTGGAGTTGATTTTCCTCAAAGTTGCCCCATTCAGTGTTGTGTTTTCCTAGGCTCATCACACACTTGAATATCTCTGTGGGTAGCCATGTGCCTGTGTAGGATATATTAATCTTATGTTTTGTCCTGGAAGCAGATTAGGCAGTTCCACAACTGCATTTCAGTCATGCACCATGATCATTCCTGCATGCTTTTTGAGACGTTTGTCATTAATGTCTGAGAATTTGGACCAGTGATGGCTTGGCTGGATTGTCCTAACATGCTTCCAAGGCTTTTCAAATAGTTTCCGATTTGCAATGGTTTCAATGGCTGTTTTCATTACTTGCTAACATGGTCTTGCAACAGCTAAATTTAGGAAGCATATCTTGTTTTAAAATCGATAGGACATCTGTAGCTTTCCGATTCATGTTAGGCAAGTTGATAGTCAGCTTTCTCACATTTTACAAGTTCTGTATTTTACAAATGCTATTGACGTCCAGGGATTTATGGTAGTCTCTAAAAAATATCTGCTCATGCTATTTTCAGTGCAGTTTAAACATTTTTTTTTAAAAAAAATCAAGTACTCACAGTTTCTGTAATAATTTTCTTTTTTCCTGTGGACCTAGTACAGATGTAACTGCTGCACTGCTTCTAATCCTGCTTGAGGACTTCGCATGTAGTTTTCAAGCTCATGACAGTGTTTATGTTTTTTGAGAAAGATCACCAGCTCTGATCTTCGTGCCATATTTTGTTATGTTATTTGTAAATAATATAGATTGAATAGCATGGATTTAGGTTGCTCAAAAATCTCACACAGCTCAAACTGTATCTTGCTTTTGTGGCTGACCCCATGCAGGTCAGAGTAGGTTAATGACAGGGCCACAGTAAGGGCTGACATTGCTGAGGTGTGCAGACATACGGCGAAATAAACTTGCAGCAATCTGTAGGAGAAAAAACTTTAATTGCTGTAGAATTGTGGCTATACAGAGAGGGTTGCCAATCCTGATAGGGAAGCAGCAACAAGAAGACTATATGGTAAGACAATACATCAGAATCTGCCTGGAAACACGAAATACAATAGAGTGTGCTCAGCCATTACGAGCAGTTATTTTCACAGAACAATACTTAAAGTGCAAGTAAATATCTTAAGAAAGTAATTCCTGTCCAGAGAACAATAAGATCTGAACACCAAATGTAATTGATGTTGAAACAGCGACTATAATATTAAACTTTAAATACAGGAAAAATATCAATTTTTCAGGCATTAGAATGAGGCAAAAATTAAATAATTTATATTCTTGATTCTAGAATTATCTTTTAAATTATTGTGCTCATGTATGACACTGTAATACAGGAGGTACAGATGAATAATAAAGCAAATTGGAAAAGAAAAGATCATTTTAAAAGCGGTTTAGATTTTCTATTTGTTTCATATAGTGAGATATAAAATCAATTTTAAAATTTGGGTAGAATAATTAAAATATAACACAATAATAAAGGGGTAGAGATATTGGGCTAATTTTAGCTTAACTCATTCAGTAGGTAACTAATGATATCAATTTCACTGGTTGTTTACATTCTGCCAGATCTTATCTCCACAGAAATAGATGGAGATTAAAATTTAAGATGGTCTGAAGAAACCACTTAACGACATTACCTTGAAATTGGTCCCATAGAATCTAAATCTGCTGCAGCTAATAAAAACTGGAAAAGGACAGTGGCTTAATGGGCCAATAGTTATAATATGTTATAACAATGTGTGCTTTATATTTGTTGATCTTGAGGTAAGACTGTTATTGCACCTCTGTAATTTTGCACAAGTTTTCTGCTGTTCCTAACAATACTGTTTTTCAGGTTTGAAAACTTCTATACTTTTAAATCTGGCTGTTGGCTTTTAAGTGTGTTTAGAGCTGTGTTTGAAGTTTGTTTCATTGTTTTGTTTGCAGCGTCTAAATCAAAGACAACAGGTAAGAAATAATGCTTTATTGCGAATGTCTGTTGGGCAATGTGACTGATTTGAAAGCAGCCTGAAAAATTGATCGGTAGATTAATCTGTGTCGTTTCATAGCGTAGTGAAGCAACATTACAAACCACCCAACCTATCTGGCTGATGTGACACCAGAATGCCTAACTTGGACCACTTTGGTTGTTGCAACAATTGGTCACTTCACACGCAAGGATGGGTCAGTTCTAGTGTTACTTAAAGGTATAGATATCCAAGTTATGGTTACGGTCATTTTAAAAGAATTTCTTCCATTGTGGAGTGCCTGGAGGTACTCAGGAGTGTTTTAGAATGAATGATAACTTATTTATTTATTTATTGTAACTTGCTTTTTACAGTGAATAATACAGTAAGATGCAGTGAAAAGCTTTAAAAGGTGGTGTGTTCAGTTTGTGGATTTGCCAGAGAATGTTATTGCTTCTTTTCAAGCAGGACAAAGGATTTGGTGAACAACCCACACAAAGACTGCAACATCTATGGGGGAAGCCTGAGCTGTGCCTCTGGGACTGCACCATGATGGCAGAGGCAGACCAAAGGCTATGGAGAACAGAAGCTCTATGTCATACCCTCTGCCAACCTGGAGCCTGGCTCCTCCATGGTCCTTGATTGTAAAAAGGGGGTTATCTGGCAAGCTGCCCATTGCACACGGCAGCTCTGTGGGCAGGCTCATCAGCACTCATCAATATGCTGCCCCAACAGAGTCTTCAGTGAAACCCCCTGCAGCAGAACACATCGGGTGATCTCATTCTCTAAAGAACTAGCAAGTGAACTATCCTTTAGCTCTGATCTGATCACAGCCTTTGTGCCCATAGGACTTACCAAATATGGATCCTAACTCTACATGACAAAATGCGTGTAGTTCCAATATCTGAACTACGGGCTGTGAGTGCCAGATCAAATGAAGGAGCTGAAGGAGCATTGCTGAGCTCTTGCCCTTTCTCTTCCTCCTTGGGTTTCTGTCACTGGAGAGGCAGCAGTGATTGGGTGTGTAAAACAGGAATTTTGAAACAGAGGTTTGGGGAAGCAGGAGGTCCATTGTCAGCCGCATCATTTTCAGCCTGCTTATCATGCCAGATAGCAGAATGTGAGTGCACTAAGATTTAAGAAATGTCACAAGACAGGATCATTTCTTCAGCCTCAATGTTGCCCATAATACCAGATAATGTGGACCTTGTTTATGTCAGCCCCATGCTGCAGAGAGCCATCTTGTCTGTAGAGGTCAGGAAATGCTTTGCTCCTTTCTAATGTTTACTACCTTATTCTGTTAAAGAGAGTGCCAGTGATTGTGCAACGCTGAGCTTTCGTGATGATCTTACCACAGCTTAATAGCTAGAGATACAGTTAAGTAGAGAATGAAGTAGAGGCTGTGAAGTTTGCAGCATTGGTAGGTATGTAAGATTGAAACAGAGCATCGGAATATTAGGCATGGGTCCTGCTGCTGGCCACCTTTGTGTGCAGTACATGCATATGCAACATCCATAGTCATGTTTTATGAGCAAACCATGTTGCCTGAACATTGCTGATCCCTTCTATGTATTTAGAAATCACTGCTTCGTTGCTGGTTGTGGGAGTGATGGCATCTGGCCAGTGCAAATCATTTGCAAATTTTGATGGTGACAAGACAATAGCTGGAAGAGGGCCAAATAGACACAAATTAAGAAAGGTAGAAAGAGGGAGAAACCTAGGCTGCAAAACTTAGACGCTGTGATTTTAGCACCACAGGTGCCATTTTGGAACCAAAATGGCATCCATGTTATGTGCATACACTTCCGTTACAACTCATGTTGAATACCATCTTGGTAAGAGCATTAGCGTTGACATTAGGAGTACACACCAAGCGTTTGCAGAGTTGACATCTTGTGACATCAGTCAGTGTCTAAGGCAGATTTGACCACATTTTCTCTCTCCTACTGTAGCTAATGACCTATTGTAAACATTACCAGCTGAGCATGCGTTCTACAGCAGGTGGCACTACATGTTAGTGCTAATTACATTTTTATTTGATTAGGAGGTTAGGAGTTGATTAATGTATTCAGGTTCTTTGTGAGCTTTCAGTAGTTGTTGGTTGTTTGCAACCTTGCGATTAAAGTTAGTGAAGACATCTGGATTTGACTTCACTGAGCTGGTGTTTGAATACATTGATTTCCTCTGGAAACATTTAGAAAGCCTTGGGTAGATTTACTGCCACCAACCCTTCTGGCTGATATTAGTCTAAGCTACTTGTACTATGTGGGGAAGGATGTCCTCACAATGTCTTCAGCAGAAGATAGGCTCAATGTTGATGAAGAAGAAACAGGTTTATTACATACTATGTCATAACTTGTTACACTGCAACTGAAAGACATGATTGTACCTTGTGAGACTATGAGGATCAATTTAAGATTAATTATACATTAGTACATTGTCTACATGCAGTTAACACTAAGAGCAATCACTGATACACTATTCATCTTTGGCAAATGTGTGCAGATGGCATAGGACGCACACAGAACTTGTTAGCACTTGCCATAACTATCTCTGTAATTTCCTCCAGTTTCACAACCTTTGTTGTGAATTTTCTCCAGTTTCACAACCTTGAGTGCATATCTGCACTCCACAAGTGTTAACCACTTGAACAATCTAAAATTCCCATCGTACTGTCGTCACACACCTTCTTCTCGATTTTACTTATTCTGTCGTTGGTGTCCATACCTTCAGCTGTGAAGCTGCCGCTATAATTCTGCCCTCGTGCCTGACTATATGCTGCTACAAATACACACATGAGGCTCCTCACTATCCCTGACAAAGCAGCCTGTTTGGTACCCCACCCACCACCCTAAGCACTCATTCCTCTATCATTAGGGCACCATGGCAACAATGTGTACCATCTGCAAGCTGCACCTAACACAAACTTCAATGATCTATAAATATTTCCTTTCCTTGACCTGCATGTATGTCTCTATCCTGTTTGCAGATTTTAATAAGGATTTGTATTTTTTTTCTAGTTTTGGAATAATAGTGGGTGTGGAAGTCTCAAGTCTTGATTTGAACATTTCTTATCAGTGTGACTTCACAATGAAATTGTGCAGCTAACAGAGGAAACCGTTTCTAATTTGGAAATCTCTTGGAGACATAGGAACAAAGGAATATGGAGTGGGTAATACACACTCTGAGTCTTTTTCATCATTCATTGTAATAGCAGCTGATCTGAGCTCAACCTCTTACATACGCCTTGAAGTCCTCATCTGAAAAGTATATCAATCTTGGTCTTGAAAATTTCTATTAACTAAGCATTTTCTTTTGTAGACAGTGTTCCACATTTTCATTACCTTGTGTGAAAATGTGATTTCTGATTTTAGTTTAAATAGGCTTACTCTAATTTCATAATTGCCTGTTCTTGTTGTGGGTTAGATTTCCACTCCAACATTCTGAAGTCATGGAAATGCAAGCAAGGTTTATCCTATCCTCATAAATTAAACAATGGTACAAGAATCTGCACTGTACCTATTATAAGACATGGACTCCTCCCTCAGATTCAGTATCCAAACCTAAATGTAGTACTTCACATAGGATCTGATTGGGAGTCTGTATAAGTGAAGCATTTTTTTTTCACTTGCAAATTCCAGTCCCACTGAGATAGTGACTTCCCATCTTTTGACCACAATATCTCACGTTAATGTGGTTAGTGTCTTTAATTTTGAAGAAAATGTCTCATGGAAGAATAGGGAAAACACAAATAGCTTGAAAATCTAGGTCCTTATGATGAATTAAAAATAATTATCATTTCAATTGTTAAAAGTAAATTAAAATTTTCTATGTAGATTGTTAACAAGGAAAAAAATGATCACTGTTCTGGGAAGAAAAGGCTGTTTAATATTCAAAACTGTTCTAGAGTGGAAGGTCACTGGATATTTTTAACTTTTGAATGAAGTGAAGTACTAGTTTTTTTAATTATATGTTGTCAATTTGGATGTGGCAGCTGGCAAAACAGAAACCGAGACACCATTTTTTGTGCAGAGACTTTATTAATCACTGAGTCTTACACTTCCTTCCACACAACAGTCTTACCTGCTCCGTCTTCATATTTACCCAGCATTTTATTTTTAAATTAATCTGTTTAAATGTATTAAATACATCTTTGGAGCAGGTGAGACTTGAAGGTTGGCCACCTGCCTCAGAGTTAGAGACACTATCACAGTGCCACAAAAGCCCTCTACCCAGCCAAACATTTAATCAAGTAACCCCAATTACCTGCTCAACTACTTAATATATTAACAGATTCTCTTTTAAATAAAGCTTTTGACATAGAATCTTATGGTGTGGTGGTATAGTCCATTCCTCTGAACCAGAAGGTTTGGGTTTAAGTCTCACCTAACACATCTGACCATGTTGATTAAAAATATTTTAAAACTTTTGAAGACATACAAACATTCTTGAACATAGCTAATTAACATCATACTTCTTTTAAATATTCTTGTTCTTAATATTTTCAAAACAGAATCAACCTTCTATATAACCCCTTCATTCTTTAAACAAAATGAAATAACATGTTTAATTGTTAAGCAATTAAAACATAAAGTGATTTTCTTTCATGTTCTCATATCTACTCATAACACCAAGTGTCCCCTTTAGAGAATCTTCATAAATTCATACAGCTGGCACATTTTTTTGTGAAATGATTTGACAATCAGTGACATGCATCAACCCACTTTATTTTTGAAATTTATTTTTTGGAAACCTTTTCTCTATCTAACATTTTTTTTACACCAGAAAGATGAGTCTTCATTTTTTTATTTAGTGCCATCCCTTGTCAACTATACATTGTTCCAAAAATAATCATTATCCACATAATGTTCTGTGATTAAATCTTTCTCAGGTTGTCACTCCAACAGGATTTCCTTTAGAAGGTTGTACTGGCATTAATGTTTTAGCTGCCAAGCTATTTTTAACTGCTCCTTCTATTCTCTTGGCTTCCCAGCCAATAGA